GGGCATTCCGATAGTCGAGAGATATGGTTACTCTACGCCAGTGGGTTGGAGTTTCTCGGTACGTGACGAAAAACTTCTCTCTCTTGGACTTGTCCCGAAAGTGCATGCTGAGGTTGAGAATCCAAACATTTTCGAGCTCATCGTGAATCATAGCCTCGTAGTGAGATTGAGATGTTGTTATTGAGTGGGCGTCTGAATTTGATTGCACCTCATGCGCATGGGATTCGTCTGTCGTGGGTTCTGCTGCAACTTGGGATACCACCTGACCAAGACTAACTTCGGCCTTTTCCTCGACAGGGCTGACGGGGGCAGATGGGGCAGACTGGACCTCGTACGCACTTTCGAAAAAGTCCGGGGCGCTAGCTCGGGGAAAGGACTGAGTCTGTGACGCCGTAAGTGACGATTGCACGCGCCTGTCCACCGATAGAGCACGCCTCTCTGCCGGTGAGGGTTCAACTGGTGCGAGGTTGTTCCTGCGCTCCGACTGTTGGCGTTTGAAGGTCTGCACGCGAGGGAGTCCGGGCACGACTTTCCTCGAGACTCGACGCACCAGACCAGTACTTTGCTGGTCGTCGGAGTCGGGGTCAAGCTCGGGTTCGGGCTCGGGCTCCCTGGTCTGGAGCGGGCCGACGGATGCCGGGGCCACATTGTTTCGTCCGAAGAGTTTACGAAGAAAGCTGGTGGACTGATGACCCGATGAAGGCGGCGGCTCTGTAGAAGCCATGTTTGGTTGCGCCATGATGAATTGAGTGAGGTGTACAGCTCGCCAACTCGGTTGGACTTTGAAGGTCGTCAAGGTGAACCGTTCAGGACGCTGACGGTGTGAGGTGAGGCTCTAAGCGGTGTAGTTCTGGGGACGAGGTGTTAATTATGGATAGTCCCGCAAACCTGGTCCGGGAGCGAACCAGGCGGGTGACAAGGATGAGCCTTGAAGCGAAAGACGGTCAACCTCCAGCCTGGTTTTGACTGGGCTTGATGCCAGGTCGGAGCTAAATTGGGCTGGCAGCGGCTGGGGTGTGTCCGGGCGCGGGGAACGCGAGACAAGAATGACGGCGGGCGTCGTTTGTGGACGTTGAAAAGTTGCAGTTCAAGCGTGACGGAGTAGATGCAGGCAACCGTAGGCAAGATGGGACATCAGACGCTGTGACGAGATAGGATGGAAACGTGCAGAGAAGCAAGGGCGAAGATGACCATGTTCAGACGAGAATGACGGTGGCGGGGGTCGAGGGATTGGCCGGTACTCGACGGGCCTTTTGGAGGGATCTCGAACCCCCAAATCAAGACGTCGTCGATGGTTGAGTGGTGTGCGTATCCTTAATAATAGAAGCTAGATGTGGCGCATGTGCTTCTTCGTCCGGGGTTGCTCGAAAGAGAGTTTTGGCGAGTCCGAAGCACTGAATAAGCTCGGATGGGCTCAGTTTGGATGGCAGTTAAGCAAGAGATGGCGGCAATAATTCGTCTAAACGTCTGCACGTCTGCATATGCTTTGCTTCTTCTTATTTCCTCGGCGATGAAGGCGATGACTTTGGCGAGCGATGTGATTCGTTTGGGCCAAGGCGGGGTGGCAGTGTAGCCTGCGGGAGTAGAGCTGTGGTGTTTGATCGCTCTGCGGCTGGGCTGATAGAGGATGTACGAATAGGTAGCGTCAGAAGGGGTAAGACGACGGAGGACGACGTCGACGTAGGGACAGATAGGCGAGCGGGAGAAATATGTATTGATTGACGAGGATGGTGGATGGGTATCCGTAGACGTATACTGTTGAAGTCGGGTCTGGATACGTATGGCTGGGTTCGCGTTGACCGGACGTGCGTCGTGAGCAGCTGGGCGGCGGCAGTGTTGGTGGTGGTTGATGGCGGTTGGCAGGCACACAGGCTTGATGAGGTGAGGCGAACGTTGGACTTGCAATGATTTGTATGGAAATCGGGCGGCAAGAAGATGACCGGGGGCTTCCGAGAAGAGGAAGAGGGGGAGGGGCACCGTTGACGGTTGCCGTGGACACAATTGAGGTCGTGGGGTCGTTCAGCGGCTGCATCTTTTGCAGTTTTCCTTTTTCCCTCTCTCTCCTTCTCTATTTAGGGTACTGTGCAAGGTACGAAGCCGAATCTGCAAAGAGGAGCTGTAAGGTATCCAGAGTACTCCGTAGTGCAGGCGCATGCAGTAGAAGCGCGCGAAAGTGAGCAGGGCCGTTGCGAGCCTGCGAGGACAATATTGGGTCCCACCCGGTCGTGTTTCTGGTTTGCTGCGACTCTAATGAGAGGTTGGGAGGCTGGGCACCGGGTGAGGCCTTGTCAAGCTCCCGTGCCAATAGAAAGGTCGGTTGGAGGAGCGGAAGTCCTAGTGGCGCTCTTCAGATACGGTAAGGTACTCTAAGGTACGGTAATGTACGAATATGTGCTCTTGAAGGCACGAGTCACTGCCTAGGTATTGAGAGTGTTCCATAAGGTAAGGCAGGGAGAAGAAAAAGACGTGGCCAGTGATAGTGAAGAGTCTAAAATGTCGATGGCTGACGGGAAAGGACCTATGAGCGGACGCTAAGGCGCTTGCTTGATGCTGTGACTTGAGTGACAACCCACCAACCATGCGGCAGATGCATGTATCTCGTACCTCACTTTCCTGAGCACCGTACGAAGTGGTAGGTACTAGGTACCTTACCCAGTCGGCGCCTTCCTCAACTTCCATGTAAGCCGAGCATTACAAAGTAGGTAAGGTGATTTCACGGCTTCTCTCCTTCTGGAGTTGCTCCTTCTTCTTTTCCCTCCCTCGTGTCTGTTGGCTCATTCCTCGAAGGCAGTTACCTTGAGGAAGTATACCTTCCATACCAAGTAGGTAGTCGTACCTTCCCAGACAAAGATGGACGGTTGCGCTACTAAGGCGGGAGGGCACACTCCTGGCGGGGAGGCTTGGCCATTTCTGGAAGAGGCGGGTGGGACTTTCCCAACTCTGATGCGCTGGCTGTCCCGACATTTCCACTTGGGCGTCAGACGCCGTTGATTTGGAGCTGACGAAACTTTTACTTACCACCTGAGGGGCTTAGAATCGACGTTGCCTTCCAAGTGCCCGTCTTAGGTTGGTTCAGACGTGTCGTGAACCTTCCATGGTCCCTGGCCTCATGTCATGCCAAGGCAGGGAGTACGACTACAACACTTTGACGTCCATCCTTCTTCCATCATCGTCACTAAATCCTTTCTCCGAAAACGCATATCTCATCCACAGACAAAGTCAAGGCGAGCTGAGACCGGGACCGCGGGATCAAGAGCGACAACTCAGCTGCAGCCCGAGGCTGCCCTCCTTCACGAACTCTTCTCCCCATGCTGCTCCTCTTAGCGCATCTCGTCTCATGTACGATGACCTCTCAATCCAGCCCTCCTCTGGCGATTGGATCCCGACTTGTGATTCTGTGGGCGTTGGGTTCGTTGGGCTCGCATCCGGGCCCTTTCTTTCAGACCTGCGAACATCCACATCGTCGCTGGGGACTGCATTCCTCCAGAACCCTCAATCAATTGGCCTCGCATTCAATCATCCATCTATTGACCGCCCTTTGCGTTCCATATTCGACCCACAACTTGATATAGGAAAATACCATGGCACTCATGGGTACGGAGTACGGCACTACGCATACTGTCACCATTTGAAGATCAGATACGCCCAGCAATTTCGATGATACGATCGGTGCCGCCAAGGCCAGGGACCAGGAGGGCATGTCATAATGGACCCCCGAAATGCTTTACATACACCTTGCTCAGTTGATGAGTCAATCGCTCAAGGGCTGCCCATCTTACAGATCCGATCAGGGGGTCTGGCCGATTTCGCTTCTTTGCGCAAGTCAAAGATAGCTCGACTCCAGGACGACAACAGGCTGGATTCGAAAACTCCTATTCTGACCAATGCTTCCATTTAATGGGCCAACGGGCTATTTTGATCCGATATCTCCAATGAACGATGGCTCAATGGGAATCTCTTCGCTTAACCACCTGCGCCAAAGATTCCATTATTGCGCAATCTCGCAATTGATGCATCTTCTCCATTTTGTTGCGTCGAACCGCGTCGGACCATCCCCCTCAAAGCATCAAGCAGCAAGGACGACTTACCCACGTGCTCGTCGCTCCTCTGCGTCAAGGCCACCTGCTGCACGACCCAGCATCTTCATTCGCAGTCCGGAGACCAGCGCATCACCAATCAACGATGCTGGACAAACTTTCAACCTCCACTGACTTACACTACCTGTACTTTTTGCTATGTGGCACAGCATAAAGTGAGACTACTACTGACGATGGAACCGCAGCATGGCACTGTGATGCATGCAAACATGGACGAACGAACGGACTGGTCCGGCGTCATTCAGCATAACCATGTACAAGTCGGTTGCAGTACCACCATCTCATCGAAAATTCAGAGCTCATGGAGACGAACCAACGATGGCGGCCTATCTCGGAGCCGGTGATGCGTATGAAGGGAGCTTACGGAAACCATAACAATAAAAGTGTCGGATGGCCTCGGGTATCTGCACTGTCTGTTGGCTAACATCAGCGGCCGGGTCAGGGGTGCGTCTTCCACACGCTGCGTGCATTTAGGCATCGACGCAGCCCAAATAATGAGGCTGTCGTGTTATTGACAGGCTGGCAAACTGCCCCATGGGACGGCTTGTATTTCTCGTCAAGCGCACGCTGACATCAAAGTGTTCAACTTGGCAGACGCCTGCTCGACATATGCTCTCTTCAAGTAACTACGTAGGAGCTCCTGGAAGCCCGAATGCTGACGCCTATGTCGTTGCAACCTCACCCGCCATCCTGTTCGCTACTCCAAGCGCCAGGAGCAGGCATAGCCATGCTTCGTCAAGCGCCGCATCTCAACCGACCTGGAGATCTCCCGTGTCCGGTGCACTGAATAGCCGGCTTTCGAGATGAACGATCGATGATCAGTGGCGAGAACGAAAGGGCAGAATATAATGCAAGGGTCGTGTCGTTTGCCCTCTTGACACTCACACATCCCAGCCAGTCTGGATGTCATCCCGCGAACCCCACCGATCCCGTGTGGACGGATGGGCGTGGCACACCGGGTCAGACCCTGAGCAACCCAGAAGAACCCACCCCACCTCGCTGTCAAACCGAAATGCTAAAAGGGAGCTAGAAGCGTTGTCACCAATCTGGACGACATTCGATGTCGACGTCGTCGCATCCTTTAGCTGCAACGAATTGGGCCACAATCAGGCACACAGAACATGTCACCATGACTCGGTTCTATATCGTACTGACGGTACTGTAACCTTCATCATATATCACAAACGCGAAGACTTGTGTCCTGCACTCCGGCAGCACGGAGACGTACGCTCCACCGTTCGATACTCCCGAGGCTACAACGCTGTCTCGCGATTGGCAACCGAAATGCGCGGCACCGCCGTCTCACCAACACCATCGCTGCGGCCGTTGACGTACATACTACATACACGGTGGCCAGGTCGGCCGCATCTGCAAGCGACAGCGTTTCCGGCAAGCTGGTCCTATCCTCCCTTGGCTACCGCTCCACACGTTATTGCTCGCCTCGAACGGCATCTGCGTGAGGTCACCACACCCCCCGCTCATCGGAAAACCAATCGAAGGGTAATGCTGGCACTAACGAACCGTTACTCATGCCGCGGCGTACTCATTGGGGAGGAAACAAGCTTCGATATGTGGCTGCTCGCCGAGTGCCCATACGACGGACGGCTCACGACAAGTGGTGGTAATATACAAGAATTCGCTTACTCTGGCCTGTCCCGAAAGCTAGCTACCATACCCTATGCAAGCATCGCGCGCCCTGCTATTTCCTAACACAGCCGCCACTACCTATGCGCGAGACTGACTGCTGCGCAATCTAACCATCCTATGCAATTGGGTGTCGCTGCGACCCTAGTCTTACAAAGCCGAGTCCGGCTGTTTCTTCCGAAACACCGCCTGAAAACGGCAACCAGCCAAACAATTAAAATAAAAAAATGAACCATCTAGAGTAGAGATGCGGTATCGAGAGGAGGGAGGGTTGTGTGTGTGTGTGTGTGTGTGTTGTGGTTGTTGTTGTTGATATGCCGTAACATTTTTATGCGGATTCGTCTAATCGTCCGGCTTTGGTTCTCCTTTTCCACCAGACTGCATCCATTCGGTCTGTCATCCGTCGCCCCTTGGCAATATTCACCTTGCCAGGTCCCTTCCCTTCCCTTCTCTTCGACGCGTCTGTAGCCCCCACAGGGCGTGAAGGATTTGGGGGGTTGAGGCGCGCGGGGGGGGGGGTCATCCTTGCAGGGATTGGGGGAAACAGGATGCGTCAACGGGGTGGAAACCATCTATCGCGTGAACAATGTCGTGAAAAAATCTGTTTGTAGATTTTCCGCTCCTTTCTTTTTCCCTCGCGGGGAGGCGCTTGAGAGCGGGCGATGCATCTAGTCGTCGTCCTCATCGTCAGAGTCGTCCCTCTTCTTCTTCTTCTTATCCTTCTTCTTCTTGTCGTCCTGGTCCTTTTTCCACTCGCACGTCTTGCACTTGTTGGCGGCCTCGCGGTCGAGTTCCGGGAAGATGAGGTCAAAGACGTCAGAGTACCACGCCACGGGCTTGCCCTCGATGCCCTCCTTGATGTTCTGTAGTGATGTGTCAGCATTAATTCTGTGAGATCCAAGTGTGCGCCGTAGTTGTAGTAGATAGTAGGACGTACCTCTGGGAGCTCCAGCCAGTCGGACATGCAGTCCTTGGGGAAGATAATCATCTTGCAGCCGGCGCGGCGCGCAGCAACCGTCTTCTCACGCAGTCCGCCGATGCGGAGGACCTTGCCTGTGAGCGTGAGCTCGCCCGTCATGGCGACGGTGGGGTTGACGGGGGTGTCGAGGGCGAGGGAAAGGAGCGAGGTGGCCATGGTGATGCCGGCCGAGGGTCCGTCCTTGGAGACGGCGCCGTCGGGGACGTGCAGGTGCAGCCTCGCCTTGTCGAAGAAGTGGTTGTCGGGGAAGTCCTTGACCATGAGGGATTTGGCAAACGAGTAGGCAATCGTAGTCGACTCCTTCATGACGTTCTTGAGGTTACCCGTGATCTCGAGCCCGGGGCGGCTGCTCGGTCGAAGGGGCGCCTGGAGGATGGACTCGATGTACATGGCGGCGCCACCCATCTGGGTCCATGCGAGACCCATGGCCACGCCGGCGGGGTTGACCTCGTAGAGGCGGTCCGAGGTGAAGACGGGGGGGCCGACGTAGTCAACGAGATTCTCCTTGCCGATGGTGACGTGGACCGTGTCGGGGACGTTGAGGGCGACGCGAGGCTTCTCGGCGGTCGGCGTCTCGGCCGGCTGCTCGCCCGTCTCGCGCGCCTCCTCGGCTTTCGTTTCCGACGCCTCGAGCGCCTCCTTGCCTTCCTCGGTCAGGGCCTCTTTCTCGGGGAGAACCTCCTCGCCGAGGTCCTGGACGATCTTGAGGGCGGATTTGCGGTAGACCTTTTCAATCTGCTTCTTGAGGTTGCGGACGCCGGACTCGCGGGCGTACGACTTGATGAGCTCCTCAATGGCTTCCTCACTGAGCGTGACGTCGGCGTTGGCCAGACCTGCGGCTTCGCGGGCGGCCGGGGCGAGGTACTTATCGGCGATGGCCTTCTTCTCGTCGGCGACGTAGCCCGACAGCTGGATGAGCTCCATGCGGTCGAGAAGGGGTCGCGGGATGGTGTCCGTCATGTTGGCGGTGCAGACGAAGAGTACCTTGGACAGGTCGACGGGGACGTCCATGTAGTGGTCCAGGAAGGAGCTGTTCTGCTCCGGGTCGAGCAGCTCAAGCAGAGCCGATGAGGGGTCACCTTGGTAGCCGCGGCCAATCTTGTCAATCTCGTCAATGAGGATCAGGGGGTTCTCGGTCTGGCACTTCTTGAGCGCCTGGATGATGCGACCGGGCAGGGCACCGACGTAGGTTCTGCGGTGACCCTTGATTTCGGCCACGTCGGTGAGACCACCGACGCTGAATCGGTAGTACTGGCGGTTCAGGGCGCGGGCAATGGACTTGCCAATGGACGTCTTTCCAACACCGGGAGGACCGACGAAGCAGATGATCTTGCCCTCAACGGTACCACGCAGCTTGCCAACAGCAATGAACTCCAGGATGCGGTCCTTGACATCCTTAAGCCCGTAGTGATCCTCATCCAGGACCGTCATGGCGTTTTGGATACCAAAGTTCTCCGCGCTGCGCTGGCCCCAGGGGATCTGCGTTAGCCAGTCCAGGTAGTTTCGCGTGACATTGAACTCGGACGCTGCAGGCTCGAGATGGGCAAGCTTATTGATCTCGTCGTCAAACACCTTGCGCACGGCCTCAGGCATGGCCAGGTTGTTGGCCTTCTCCTTGAACTTCTCAACCAGCTTGTCCTTGCCGTCGGACTCGAGGCCCAACTCGCGACGGATGCCCTTCATCTGCTCCATCAACCAGTACTCCCGCTGACGCTTAGTAATCTTACTCTCGACGTCCTTGGTGATCTTTGACTGGAGCTGCGCGTTCATGAGCTCCTTCTTCAAGACGATCAGCGCCTTTTGCATTCTCTCCTCCACGTTGAGACTCGACAGGACCTCTTGCAACTCGCCCTGCTCGCCAGAAGACACGGCGGCGGCGAAATCTGCAAGCTTGGCCGGCTCGGACGTCACGTTGCCAGTGGACTGGCTCATTGAGAATGTTGAGATTTGATCACGGAAAAGGCTGTTCATCGTGGCGACCTCCTTGAACACGTTGACAATCTCGTTTGTGACGGCACGGATGACAGCGCTCTTGGGGTCGTAGGGCTCTTCGGTCAAGTTCTCCACGTTGACGAGACTGACGGGATATCTCTTGAGGAACGCGGTGGGCTCGTACTTCTCCGCCGCCTGCTCGACTTTGGGGGCCACGGCACTCTCCTCGAAGCTGGCAACGACGTCGCCCTTCTTCTCTTGTTGGGCCTCTTCATCAGTGGGCTTCGAAGGTATCGGCTCGGGCACCGGCTCGACCTTGGCTTCGCTCGGCTTCTTGTCCTCCGTTCCCGGCGGCAGCAAGCTCGAAAGGCGGATACGGCGGTGAGGGTAGAGGATAGCCGTCAGGGCGCCCTGCTCACCATGCATGGGGAACGCACTCGTGATCTGCGCAAAGACACCGGTATCGTAGACGTCATCGACATTGCGGATAACGTCCTCGTCTTGGTTCTCGTCCTTGAACAAGAAGGCACCGACATACGGTTGGCCTCTCTTGATCATCTCGGTGATGGCCGCGGCGACGTTCGGGTCCTTGATGGTGATAGCCTTGTAGAAACCGGGGAACAGTGGTCGCTTCGCAATCGGGATAGCGAGGACTTGGGGGTAGACGTCGGGCACAACGGGCTTCTGCAGGCTCTTGTCAGAGGCTCTGCGTCCGCGTCTGCCGCTGCCGTCGCCCTTGTCATCGCCGCCGCCGGATCCCGCTGATGAGCCACCAGCCGCACTACCGGCCTTGCCATCCTGTGCAGCTCCCGAGGCCTCGCCCTTGGCGGATGACTCGGAGTTAGAGCTCTTGGCCTCGGCCAACTCCTTCTCCTCGAGCTCGCGCTGGTGCTTCAGGTTCGCCTTTTGTTCTTCCTCGGATAGGGGCTCGACAGCACGGTCGAAGAAGCTGTTGTCCTCCTCCTTCAGCCATCGTGTTGACGTTGAGAATGGGGCGACGGCTCGCTGGGATGGGCGGGTGGTGAGGAGAAGGCGGTCGAAGGTGGATGCGGAGCTCCTCGGAGTACTCGCTACGGGTAACCTGCTACTCGAGGCCGCGTAGGGGTTTCTGAGGTAGTTTGTTGAGCGACCGAGGGCCAGACGCCTCGGAAAGCTTGATCGCATCACCATGTTGCCGGCAGTTGGGGGAGGAAGAAGCTCCGGTCGCGGCACGTGGTGATCGGGTAATACAGGGCCGAGGGCGAATCAAGGTGTGCCGCTGTATTGTTTGAATCGTTGACAAAACAAAAGAGATTGGGGGAATGCAATTGGAAGGGTTGCAGGTGTTTGTATTTGTGTAGAAGGGTGGTGAAAAGGACTCCGAGTCCTAAATCGCAATGCGCATCGCCTCCTGACGCCTTACAAATACAGAGTGTAGGTGAGTTGAGTAGGCTTTCAAGCTATTATGGAGACAGTCGGGGGGAGACTAAAGAGTAAACGACATCACCAAAAAAATCAATGAGCACTGACGTTGCCTCCCGTGCCTGGCCACTCAGCGCACGGCGGAGGCGGGAGTTGGCTCTGGAACCAGGAAGAACTTCGGCCCCGTTTGCCGGCGGGGCAGCTTACCTAAGGAGGTCCCTCCAGGACGACGTTCCCCACAGATTGAGTTGTCCAGTGGCTGGTGCTGGCGAAGCTGGAGACGGCAGTGGTTGGCGCCGCAGCTACCCGTCACTGAGGTGTATTCCGTACAGAGACATCAACTTTTGGCTCGGCGAGGGGCAACCGTGTTTTGTACAATTATAATGTGCAAGTTCCGTACTTCTGTAATATATCTTCATCGTGTACAGTCACCTGCCCATAGTACTACCGGGTTGAGATAGTCTTATGCTGTGATATACGGCGAAAAACACCTCAGTACGGATACATGAACCATTTGCCTATGCCATCTCCCGCGCTGCCGCAGCGCCTTCCAGACTGTCCCTCTGACTCGCTGCGGGGAAGGGGCACCAACCCAACCCCACAATGGGAAAGGGTTCCAAGCACAAACAGCCCATCCACGTCCCGCCATCCCGTCGTGCCCGTCTAACAGCAGTCCGTTCGCACACCTGAAAGGAGCCGAGGCCACTTCGAGTTACATCAATCTAGTATTTATCAGAACTTGTTTCCTGCTACGGGTATTATCTTCCTCCTTTCTCTCATCCTGTTTTCTCCAGGAGCTTCACACCGCACAGAAACTTGGTCATCCATTCATCAGACCCTGGTTCTATCAAGAGTCGTCTCGACGGAGCCCTCTCAGATCTCCAGCATCACTCCAGCTGCAAGCTGTACCTCACCTTGTTGATCCTTCATCGGCTTCGTCCAAAGACCACCGCCCCGTCGTCCACCGATCGACCTTCCCTGCTACCCGGAACTTTACCCACTCTTTACCTCGCTTCCCGACGGAACCGTACCCGGGTTCCTGGCCATCTCAACCTCCTATTCTTCTCAAGCAACAATCTGTCGTCTCTCTCTCTCACACACACCTCTCTCTTCTTCTACATCTTAATATCTATCCATATATACACACTACCATCATGCCTTCGTCGAATCAAAAGTCAGACGTTACGTCCTCGCTCTCCAAGCTTTCAATAAACAGCTCCAAAAAGACACCATCCACCAAGAAAACCAAAGAACCAGTAGCAGACTCCTGGGAAGACGAGGACGTAGACGAGGATGAGGAGGAAGAGGAGCAAGCCGTGAAGCCACAAAGCGACGGCGCCAAGGCCCCGCCGCCAACCCCCATCTCACCAACATACAACGCCGCAGACAGGTCCTTCCCCAACCCCTACGCCAGCGTCGACTCCGTTGCCGCTGGTGCCGGTGCGTCTTCGGGTGGTGGCAGTGGCCAGGACGCTGCCTCACCACGCCCCAGGCCAGAAAAGACGGACGCCGTGGCCCGGCGCATGATTGCCAGCGCCCTGGGCGTAAAGGTACCCCGGATGACGGAGGAACAGAGGGCCTACGACAAGGCTGTCAAGGAGAAGGAGCGGAAACGCAGGGATGAGGAGAAGGCTGCTGAGAAGCGCCGGCTGGAGGAGGCCGAGAAGGCCAAAGTTGCCATCTGGGAGGATTAGGTTTGCTTCGCGGCCCTTTTCTTGGCACCGGCTCTGATATTCCTGCCGTCTTGCGAGGCGGGACGGAAGGCTGAAGAAGGATAATGGACTGTTTTCTCCAAAGCCGCCGTGTTTTCATTTGCACATATTCACATATACAGACAATATCATATGGGTCCCTCTGCTAGGAAGAGAATAATTATTGACTCCCTAAGCTGACTCCCTATTTGACAACTGCATACGTCCATGTAGCCAGCTCAAGTATGGCTCAACTCCCGTCCACCCACTCTTGGGCTTTAGCCTGCTTCTCTTCAGCAGCCCGCTGCTTTCCCATGGTCTCCAGTACACTCTTGACCGCAGGCCGGGCGCGAATCCTCTCGGCCCAGGCGGCGTAGTCGGGATACTTGGAGTCGACTTCCCACTTGGCGCTCCACCCCTCGCCGATGAGGACTCTCGCGAGCTGGTCCCACGGCATGAAGGCGATATCGGCGTAGGTCCTACATAGCACAGCCCGTCGTCAGTTACAATGCGTGCAAATGTGGTATAGAATCATGGAAGAACTCTGGATGCATCGGAATAGTGGGTTCTTTTCTGGGGAAAGTGGAGAGGTATGGGAGTTGACCTGCTATTCATAGATGGATCCAGATAGAAAAAGGGGGTGATGGGCGGAAGAAGTGGGAAGTGGGAAAGGGGAGCAGGGACGGGATGGGGGTCTCCCTTTCCCTCTCTCTTTCTCTCGCTCTCTCTCTCAAAACAAACGTACGCTTTGTCTCCGACGAGGTACTTCTTGCCCTTGAGGGCGCGATCGAGGACCGAGAGGACGCGGACGGTCTGCTCCTCGTACCTCTCCTTGGCGCTGGGGACATCTTCGGAGTGGAAGAGCTTGAACCAGCCAAGCTGGCCAAAGTACGGGCCCTACATGAGCAAAACACCACGGTCAACTATTTGTCGCCGTTTATTTTCCGACAAAAAAGTCATCCGTCCTACTATCAAGAACAGTCATGATAGTACATGCCAAGGGGAGGGGGGAAGAAACCAAAGCAGTAAAACGGTCGGAGCACATATGCAAGCTTTTATGTGTGAGAGAAAGAAAAACGCACCTGGCCAGACACCTGGAAATGCAACCACTGCTTTAAGAGGAACCTATCCTCTTGAGAAGTGAGGGAGAGCGCGCCTGCGTCATCATACGTCTCAACGAGGTACTCGACAATGGCACCCGATTCCCAGAGTGTGATGCCCGTATTGGGGTCTTTGATGGCCGGGAGGCGACCGTTTGGATTGATGGAGAGATAGGGTTCCTCCTTTACGACGGCGAGGTCGATGATGATCTAGGTGAAAGTGTATTCGGTTCAGCAAGACGAAGTGTAGATGTGTGTAAGTGTGTCTTGGACAGATGCTGGGTCTTGGCCGGGGTGTGGATTGCGGTGGCTGAGGTTGGGGTATACCATGACGGAGAGGAGGGGATGGAAATACGACATGCAAAGGTCGACGAAGGCAAGGGAGACGTTACATGCTCGTATGGGATCTTGAGTTCCTCGAGTATCATGACCACTTTGGACGGATTAGGGGTGTAGCCTGCAATGAGAATATTTAGTATCTAGTCCAGGTTCATGAGGTGAGATGAAGATGCCAAGTTCGGAAAACGTACTGTGGCCATAGAGAACGATGGGCTTTGCGGCAATCATGTTGGTTTATGTCTTTCAAGACGTCGTGTCTGTACTAGTTTGTGGGAATTGTTTGATTTTGATATTGGTTGTAAAAGATCTTCCTGTCTGATGATTCCGAGACGGATATCCTGAAATCTAGAACGTAGGATATCATGATATTTATCATTCCTTCGCGTCAAGAGTCCAACAAAGCATTCAACATCCGCCAGGATCCCCCCCCGCACATCGAATCTTTCGCTTCGATGCTATGCTGTCTAGGCGCGTCTTCAAGCATCACCATGCCCCTTCACCCATGATATCATCACACAAGTCCATTTCTCCCCGAGATATACACGAAGCAGGAGGCTTGCTCTGGACCATCTGGCGTGACCAACCTCGCAAGCCCCAGAAAGCGGAATCAAACCTTTGAATCCATCTTTCGTAAACAACTTCCCTCCTCATGTAATCATCACCAATCTCAAAGACCTCATATTTGCTGATCCTCCTAACCGCAGAACTGCAAGAACCCTCTTCCCGCGCGGCAGATGACTACAAACCCCGTCGTCCTGCCATTTCAAGAAAAACAGTGGTAAGGGTAGTAAGCATAATCAGCTTTGTCACGCTTGGAAATACCCATCATGAACACCTCACAAATCCTCTCTCTCTCCCTTGGCAAAAGGATCTTTGGTATGCCGTATATGCAAGCCACGTCGTGGCTCACGTATAATTGTGCCCGGAATTATGGGGCCTTCTTGTTCGGCCGCGTGCCGGACGAATGGTCCGGGCAACCTCACACCCGGTTGGGTATCCCGCCGAACCGCTGTCACTGACGAGCCGCGCCGGACTACGGACATTATTCGTATAAACTGCCCGAATAGCCAACCTCCCAGACGACTTTCCACATCTCTGCTCGCTCCAACACATGCTGCTCGGTCCCGAATACCTACGCAGTTACTTATCCCAGATTGTCCTCTGCCCAGCCAGGATGCTCAGCTACCAAGTCAAATCCAACCCACACCTACAATGACGTCTCAAGAAACAACAGACTGACACCTCCCCAGACACTTTTGTGGTGTAGAGAGACAAGAAAGCCGTAGCTCAGCTCATTGGCGGCGGCTTACAAGTTCCTTTTCGAGAAAAACATCCCAAAACGTTGTTTCGAACCCGCAAGACGACACATCCCAGTATCAATATCCCCTCAAGCACGTGGCGAGCAAAAAAAGAAGCTTGATCAAATCGTTGGCCATGTTACCACACCCTTCCATTTCACGAACCCGAAAGACGATAACCTTTTTTCATGCCGCTTTACCAACCCTCCACAACCCGAGGTTTCTGTGGAAAAGGGACGACGTGGCGAGTCTCTAGAGCGAATCATGCGCGATGGAGCCTCCGTTCGTCCCAGATATGAACAATCTCATCACCCTGCGAGAAAGGAAAAAAAAGGGTTACCAACTCCTCAACGGCAGAATGCGATCAGAAATCAGAAAAGAGTAAGATCTCCGTAATGTGGGCAAAAACATTACTCAGGGAGAAAGGGGGCTCCTCATGAGATGACGTGAAACATCCAGGACACCCACGAAAAAGCTCAGCACACCCTTCTTCAACTTATCAACGTGTGGGACACGTTGCCGATGAAGTCAGGAAGGCCATTCGCCTGAACTTGCCGGTTTGGCTGAAGATATTCCAGAAAAGACCAGAACCGTTGTCCGTTGGAGTCCGGATGTATACTGGCCAAACTCAGGAAGCCTCAAAAGGGACGACCCTAAGACAATCGAGGGCACTATCCGATCAACTCACCGACCGTCTATTGTTGCTACTTGCAAACATTTCGAAGCAGCTTCCAGAAGCAGAATTTGCTCCTGTTTGAACACATGGAGGATATAGTGGTCCCGGATGTTATGAAACAGATCGTTCTAGCGATGTCGCTGAGGTGTTGTATGGCGATCTTAGGAACGGCATTATTCATCTTCGGCTGTTTCCTTTGCCCCTAGAGTCAGCACGGACACGTAGACCGCGTTGCCAAGGGAAATTGGCTACGGTCGGAATTCATCCTTCAACTACGGAGTACTGTTGAGAGGTTTGTATGATTTGCCGGCTCAAGAGTGGGCCGTTGTCGCAAAGTCGGACCTTGAAAGTCTTCATCGGAGAATGTCCTGCATCCCGGCCTGAGGTGCCTGGCTAAGAGAACAGACCATCCGGCTACACAGTAAGCGCCGAGCAGTGGCATGAAAGCTGGATTTACGCCGACGAGAGGCAAGGCATCCAGGGAAGTCAACGTGCATCGGAGCTTGTCTTTTTCGGGAAGCTGATAAGAAAAACTTGACAGGGGATTCCGACGAGAGTATCAGTGTCGCTGCAGAGAAGTATTCAGGTGTAAGGCTTTCTCGGCTGAAGATCTCATGCACTTCTCAGTCGTGCTGTCTCGATGGCAGGGCGCTCCTCCCCGACCACGGCTTCAAATACGATTGCGATCCTTTGGAATGACTGCCCTGGCCGGCCGAAAGAACCGACGCACGTGGAATAGCTGGAAGTAGCCGTGGCCACGCTGGTATGATCCGACGAGCTCGACGTGGTATAAACAAGGCCTGGCGAACATTGATCAAACAAATGCTCAATGGCGAGCGGACCGTTTGGTTGTTTGTTGACGGACCCATGTCTGTGTGTCCGGCCCTTCAAACTGATCAGAGAAGATGAGACTTGATGCCTCCTTCTCCCACGTGTGCTCCCTGCCGATATCTGTTCCAAAGGGCCTGTGAACCGCCAGGCCATTGACGCTAGCCGATTGGATAAGGCGCTCAGAAGACACTCACACTGGGCCCAATCAGTGTCGATTTTCTGACGAAAGCGTGCGTGAGACCAGGGTTGTCCTGTCATCAAAGCAAGTGGCCGATGCCCCCGCAAACGCTTGAGAGGTATCCGGTCGGGCTTAACACGAAAACAGCCTGTTAAACTCATACGGCAGAGTTGCCGTGAAATATGAAATGCCGTCACGACGCAAATTCCGGTGCGGAGTCGACCATTAAGCTCAAGCCAGTATTAAATCCCTTTGTCGAGGGGCTAGACTGACGTTGAGAAGAGGAGTATCAGACATTGGAGAAGTTCGGGGGCCCCAAGTTAGAACTTCTCGTGCAGCCTCGTACCTACGGTAGCTCATAGCCTCACCCTCAGGCCATGTAGGATCGAATTACATATGTTGACCTGTAGAGTCTGATGTACAAGCTTGGCTGGGCTCGATGACCTCTAGCTTCCAAGGCGAAGATGCAGCCTCATATTGGGGTGAGAAGGGCCAAGAGCCAGGATGGGGCTGCAGCCATGCTGGAATTCGAGGAGCGACGAAAGTGCCCAAAGCGTGTATAAGGTTTTCATGGTCCGAATTCTGCGCGTCTGACTTGGATGTGGTCAATTGCCGTGGTGTTCGTATACCTCACCCCCATTGCTTCACGAGGAGAGTCTGGGCACCGTGTAACAGCAGACGATTAGGGCCGTACAACCATCTCTTTGAAAGTGGTTCGGGGGGTTTAAGGGGGAGAGGTCTATGGCTCGTCGAGCAATTGAGTTGCCGAGTCCTGGGATGGTGGAACACTGCGACGTTGGAACGTGGCCGGTAGGCCGCAAGTCAACTAGACGGAAAGCCGGTCAAACAATGACAGAAGGTTTTGTGTCTTGTTGTATCTGCATTCGCAAGCGCATCGTAACCGTAGCATCGCCGACGTTCTGGCCGCGTGCAGCTTACATGTTCCGCCTCGCCTGTGTGCATTTGTGACTTGTGCGTGAGATGGGTTGCATTCCTCGGTGTGATGCGGAGCGGTGACCGAAGCAGTATCAACCCGTACATGGCAAACGAGCCGATGCTGGATGGGTAGATCTGCACAGTCGACTGGCAAGAAAGAAGCCCGGACTCACGCCACAGACGCCTAGTCGGCGGGTGGAGGTTATCCGTCTATTCTGCTTAAACTGTAGCTTCGGGATGACTGAATGCCACTTAGCTCGTCATTGATGGCGGTCACTCATTCTTAGCCCGCCTCAAATTGAGGTCTGATGATTCGTTACCGCCAGATAGAAGAAGATCATCGATCATTGCCGAGCCATAAAGCCTCGTGTCAGGGCTGTTAAGTCGCTAGCCAGAGTCGTTGGTGAAGAAATCTGCATTTGCGTCGCATGTTGCGAATGAACCCATTCGCTGTTTGTTTCTTTTTGGTCAGAAGCGGTAACTTCATCCAATATCAATTATCCAATTATGCAGCGAAGGGATGGTCTGTCGACAAACCAACGTCTCGAAATGTTGGCGGGTCAGGATTAGACTGGGGGCTGTGGAAGGGTCATTACTCGGGAGTGGTGACTGAAACACTTGTTCCATTGCCTGGCCCCCTCTTCCATTCTGTCAGCAAAAGACGGCGCTCGCTGGTTCAGTGCGTCTGGGGGTGCCGGATGCGGAGACGCGTTGCCGGGCGCGGTCGAATCTTTTGTGACTTTCCTATATGGACCAAATTTTTCGGGGCCAAGAACATAGGTTGAGTATCCAAACGATATCAAGATCCGTATCCGTCCGTACCGTGAAGTTTATGGCCTCTCCCGCTTCTGTTGAGGGCCTGTGTGTGTGTGGAGAGAGAGAGAGAGGAAGCCGAGGAATAAAATTGATTGTCCAGGGCAGAATTACACCTTGAAAGTACAGAGCATTCAGGACATGCGATTAACAATGGTGCCTACCTTATTTGATGAATAGGTACTCCGTACAAAAGTAACAAAAGTAAGGTAAAGCAAGTGCGGGTTGCGGCAATCTGGATTATGGCAGGAGATGACATCCGGGTGCAGATACCGATCGGGTCGGGCGGGAATGGGAAAGTGAGAGAGAGGGTAATACCTACTCCATTGGTCCGTAGTAACGTAGCAGAAAATTCAAGAGCGGCCTGAAATCATGTTCCGTTGCCAGTACGAACCATGAGGCGGTAAGCGTAAATCAATCTGATTTGAGGATGAAAATTTTCTGTCGTGTTGCGGGACGAGGATGCCCTTCTCAGAGGCGGAACCTTGTCTGATGGACTCGCGTTGTCGGATGGACTCTCGGCGCAGGCCAATTTGCAAAGTGCTAAGTGCCTCGTACGGATCAGTAGGTGCGCGATACCTTACCGCAAAGTGCAAGACCGTCAGACGTGGTGGGATGAGAGGCACGCACGTGGACCTTGATTTAAAAAAGGTTGAGGCCAGGAGCGCGGCCCATTAAACTTTGCACTTTGCCTTTTGCTATATCTGTATCCGTATGCGTGAGTACCTCCTGTTAATAGCGTATACCATGCCGTGCCTCAGCTTGGATGGACAAGCTGCCCCTTGCTCAAATTTCCAATTTCACAACAGCTTCATCTATTTATTTCACGTCTCCAATTGCCTGATGCCTTACCTTACCTCAAGCCTTTCACGCTCCCTGAGGCTCCCTCGCCAATCCCCATCAAGGCCGGCATCCTCGCATATTACATTCTATTGGGGGCCGCCTGGGGGAGATGTCAAATAATCAAAATTGATCAAAAGGGATGAGAACAAGCGCCAGCCCAGTCGGGATTGGCAAGAACAACAAGGAGCAGAAAATATCCCGAAATGCCTGGAGATGAGAAGTCGGTACGTACCGTGAGCTGTAAATATCTGGGAGAGCTTGAGTTGGCCGGGGTCGCCAGGGTGTGCATCCAATGAGAGTGATTTAAATGCCATGCATGCGGCAGAGGGAGGAGACGAGACTAAAACGAGTGGATACCGTCGCTGGTCTGTCCTTTTAGCGGTACCGCAGTCAGGTAAGGTAGGTACTTCGTAGGCTCTTGCCCAAGTCGAAGGACTGGAGGAGAGAGCTCCTGCTCTTTTTCTCTGCTCTGTTCTTGCCCCCAATAGCAACCCGAGACTGCAAGTACCTCGACCATTTGCCAAGTACCTTTTCATGCTTACCTAAGATTACCATACCTGCCTTTTGAGGTAGGTAGGTTGAGGGAAAGTCCGTGTCAACTCTCGAGAATACGCAGTATTGGTACTCTGCAACATGTGGGATATTCTGCCTTGCCTTCAATTCCAAGTCACTCAAGATATTCACACCCACGATTCGAACAAGGTGTTCCTTAGCAGATCCAACTCCCCGAACCTTGAAGCCCTGGTCCGTCATCATCAGCTCGTGTCTTGCACCTGAAGGTTTCTGAGCTTGCCTACCTTACTTATGTGCTTACCTAGTATCTACGGATACGTCCATGTGCTAGTTCCAAGCATCCCGTCCACCAACAAGCCACAAGTGGTCGATGCCTTCCATCCACCTCACATAGATACACTCACCCACAACCAGTCAGCCGGCGTTCAATTGTGCTTCAGCAAGCTGAGCAATGGACGTGGATAACTGACCACCTGACGGAGGACCTTAGGTACATTCGTGCCTGTCTGTTCTCCCGCCACACGCCGCACCCTCGCACGTCTCCGTTTCTACACCATCAGCACTGCATACCTCTCCCGGCTACTCCCTGCTCGGCCTGTTCCCTCTCCGGCAGGCCAAGACCTGTCCAAGTCGATTGAAGAAGCTGTCCGCAGGTGGCATAGGCCGAGTCCGTCCACACACACTCTCTCACACTCTCTTTCTCTCTGTCTCTCTCCTCTCTCTCTCCCTCTCTCTCCCTCTCTCTCTCTCTCGCGCGCGCACACTCACATCACTCACAGCACAAGAGACAAGACCCATACATATCCAGATCCACACACCACACGCGCACCCGCACCCCGCCGCCCTGGCCTTGCCTTGCCAACTTTGCCGGGGCCTGCTGCACCACTTAGTTCTGCGCTGGGAACGTGTCCCTGTCACCCATGCCGCCGCATACCTGAGGAGTGAGCACTGAGGATTGAGGGACCCCGACGGGAAGGGAGGCGGGTGATTGGTGTCTGGGCCGAATGGGTCTGATTGTCTGAGCTGACTGCGTATGGGATTGGGGACGTGTTTGCGTGTGTGTGTGTGTGTGTGTGTGTGTGTGTGTGCGTCTTGCCTCGCCCAGTTCTCTCCGTCTCTCTGATCCTCTCACTTCTTGTAGTCAGTGCCGTAAGTACCTTACCTCGTGAGGTAGAGGTAGAGGTAGCGGAAGAGGTATCCGTATCCGTAGATCGTAGTGCAGAGGTACCTGGCCATCGATACCGCTGCTTCTTTGCGACTCCACGAAGGCCAGCCTGCCACTAGCATCAACTTTACACTTTCCCGCACGACAGAATTCCTTTTCCTCTTACCCACACCTGCTCTCCTCACTGGCCCTTTCCTCCCCTCCAACTCGTTTCCAGTCTTCTGTGCTGCTTTTCTTTTTCCGATCTCCCTCACAGTTCATTCCCCTTCGTCACTTGACAGATCAGATCCGAACCGCCAGGACGGCCTGATCTCTTGTCCCATTCATTCCCTGGGCCGAACGCGCTTTCTTGTCACACCCAGGCTGTCTATCCGTATCACCTTCCAATACCAAATTGCCATCTCTCTGATCTCAGTCTTACAAGGCTCAGGTCTCCAGGTCTCCTCCCCATATACCCACCCATCCGGGCAACCTCTTCACGCAATAGGTACGCTCCTCCGCTGCCAAGGTACTCCCAAAGGTACCCAAGGTGTCGCTCTCGGTACCAAAGGTACATCGGTGCTTACCTTAGCTTAGGCCCGTACCCAATTGCACTTACCCGCCCGCCTGTCGAGGTCCTGGTGATACCCACATTTGTTCCTCCGACACTGTCCTTGCCCGCCTTCCCGGTCGCACTCTCGTCTTCCGTCCTTCGCTACCCATCTCCCTCGACAACTCCCGCCCATCCCCGATCTTCAGGGTCGTCGCTCATCATCCGTCCATCCTCACTCCGTCCGATAAACATTTCCAACAACTCACCGCTTTCGGTTTCGATCCTCGTCGTCGCTGTGTCCTCTCGAAGCCTCCTGATCCGAAACGCCTACGTTACCGCCGAGTCCTCCGCCGAACGACCATCACTACCAATCGACGACGCCCTGCGATCCATCTCAGCCTCGCCATTAATTTTCTTCTCGCCAGCGTTATCTAATACTGCTATGGGCATTTAACGTGCATTCATTCGGGACCTCACGCGCGTTTAAATCAATTCGACGGCTCGACGAGCCCTGCACTCGAACATTTAACGCACCCAAATCCCATTACTCTTCCCGTCAGCGGCTCGACCGAAGCCTCGACCTCTGTCGAAAATGGGTGCCTGTATGAGCTCAAACAATGAGGAGGTGGAACAGAAAAAGAAGAGTCAGGCAATCGACCGACAACTAGAGGAGGATTCGAAGAGGTTACGCCGGGAATGCAAGATTCTCCTGCTCGGTAGGTTTTGACGCCAGAGTTCAATTCTGAGGGATCTCGATGGGGAGCCGGCTTGCTGACAACCACGCAGGATCCGGAGAAAGTGGCAAATCCACGATAGTGAAGCAGATGAAGATTATCCATTTGAAGGGCTATTCGGAAGATGAACTGTACAACTATCGCCCGACTGTGTTCAAGAACCTGGTGGAGTGCGCAAAAGCAGTGATCCAGGCCATGCGACAATTCGACATTGAACCGGTAATCGAAGAGAACAAGGCGTATGCCACTTTCCTCATGGAATACACAGCCGAATCTGGCCCCCAAGCACACATCGATCCCCAGATTGGCATCGCCATCCAGTCAATATGGAGCGACCCCGCAAGGGAACAGCTCATGGAGAGGCAGACTGAGTTCTACTTGATGGACTCTGCAGAGTAGTAAGTGTGCTCAATTGGACACTTGGGATGTCGGGGCAAGAAACGCTAACAAGATTGCGACAGCTTCTTCCAGGAGGTCATGCGGATCGTAGCACCAGACTACCTCCCGAACGAAATGGATGTTCTTAGAGCCAGAACGAAGACGACCGGTATCTACGAGACAAGATTTCAGATGGGACAACTCAGCATACAGTGAGGCTCTGTGATCGACTGTGCGCACTTTGCAAATACTAACAAGTTCTACAGCATGTTTGATGTTGGCGGTCAAAGAAGTGAGAGAAAGAAGTGGATTCATTGCTTCGAAAATGTCACTTCAATTATTTTCTGCGTTGCCCTTAGCGAGTACGACCAAGTTTTGCTGGAGGAGAGCAGTCAGGTACGTCATCCCACGAAGCCGTCTCCCACTCAATGCCGTGTACTAACGGCTACAGTACCGAATGATGGAAAGCTTACTACTGTTTGACTCGGTGGTGAACTCGCGGTGGTTCATGCGCACCAGTATCATCTTGTTCCTGAACAAGGTGGATATCTTCAAGCAGAAGCTCGGACGTTCACCACTGGGCAACTACTTCCCCGACTACTCAGGCGGTAACGATGTCAACAAGGCAGCCAAGTACCTCCTCTGGAGGTTCAATCAGGTCAATCGAGCACACCTCAACCTATATCCCCAGTAAGTGAAAGCGTCATTGTTTCGGTGGGCGGGGGCTAATCCGACTGTAGCCTGACTCAAGCAACCGACACATCCAACATCCGATTGGTGTTTGCGGCCGTCAAGGAGACGATCCTCAACAACGCCCTTAGGGACTCTGGCATCCTATAAACTACCAGTCGCCTCGGCTACCAATTTTCCTTAATGTTTAGATTCATCTCCTCTGTTGCGGGTCAGCGTTTTACAGCATTGCCGGGCGTTGTGGGCGGCACCTCGTTTGGACGGCGTTCACTCTTGTTTATACGCTCGCTTGCGATACGACACGGGTGCGAGCGAATCGTCGGTCAGTGCCTTGGTCGAGGACGGCACGTCACGGCAATTCCATTTCATTTGCATCACGGAACCAATCGCTCGAAAATGGACATTCGCAACCGGTTGCTGCCCGCCTACGCGAGATACGCCGGGTTACTGTGGTGGAAGAGATGTCCATGTGAAAGCGTCTCTGGGACGAAAAGTACGCCGTGGGTTGGAGTATGGTATGGGAAACGGGAAATTCAAAGATGATGTGATGAATTGGCCGTTCGTTTTCTTTTGTCTCTATTTTGGCATGATGCTCGAAACTGGGGAAAGCGGCAGCATCTGCCCTCTTGAAAGCGGTAGCGTATGGGCCTGACTGATAGCTGGAGAGAGTTGCGACAGCGAAATGAAGCACAACTCTCTATATGCGAACCATTCGTGTGCCAGGAACGTGCCAATACCTTCTAAAAAGAGCCCATCCCAGGTTTCTGGTCGTCGGACGGGGACGACGACGATGGAGAGAGAGGTCGTGGACAAGAACAAGAAGGTTGAGAAGGGGGGATCGGGCGAGCTCACGAGAAAGAGAGAAGAAAAACCCCGCAGAACGCTGGCTTGAAGCTTCGCGATTGCGGCGGATGATGTTCTTTTCTTTTTCCCTCATTTGTACACTATTATCGTCTTAATCATGCAAGCAAGGCTATGTGCGCTGCTGGAAGCGGTCGCATCTTTTATTCTCACTTATTCGTTTCACTGTAAACTGTTTGATGCGTGATATTTGGCGTTGAAGCCTTGTGAACGCCAGGGGTAGTCGCCAATGATAGCTACTAACAATACCAAATATGATAGATAACCCGTAACTCTGTGATATCTTCAGTGGGCCCTTAAAAGCCAAGGATTATGGTGAGTGAGAGAAGAAGAGATGTGCTGCGTGGGCGGGAACTAGGAACATCAGGTGATGTATTGATGTAGACTTTTCTGGGTGGTGGATTGGCACCTTGGGAGGATGTCATTACATTGCATTCCGACTGGGACCCGTGGGACGAGTTAGCCCAGGCCAGCCATGTCGTGCTCACTCTTGTCTGGGTCGTTGGACGACAGGAAAGGTGGGGAGAGCTTTGTGATGCATGTTGATGGAGACTAAGCCCGTATTCGAGAGGCTGGGGGGGTGGTTTATCAGACTTTTGAAGAATGGAGCTGAAGAACACCACCCAGCTGCCAGGAATAAGAGGAAGTAGGAAGCGGTGGTGGGGCTCCAGCTGGAACAGAGTCGCAAACGGGATGTTCGGCGAGAGCGGAGAGCTTCCATTCTATGGAGTACTGGGTACCGTCATGGTCCAACAGTCAAGCTTGCCAGCCATCAAGCTATTTACCCCGGGCGACGAAGCAGAGTTGGCGCCGGTGTGAGGAGGAGTCCCTCTTGTTGTGCAACTCGGGGGGTAGGCATGAGGGGGAGTCGGTTGGGCTGGTGAATCACCATGTTCTCACTTACCACAGTGAGGCAGGACTTACGGATACGCCGTCCGTCCCTTCGCCCAAGGTGAATCTGAAGGCAGAAGGTGTGGAAGAGTAAGGCGAGGAAGGTATTCGTAGGCCGGACAGCCGTGGGCGGGTTACCGGGGTGTTGGCATTCTTGTGTCCCGCACCCGGGAGGCGACTTGCAGCTGGAATGGCGGGAAGGGGGCAAAGGTACGGATACTGCATGCCGTGGGCGGCAAGAAGAACGTGGTTGCTAGAGAGATTTGAAAAGTTCTGCCCCCTTGGGAGCATTGAGGAATTTGAAGGGGGCGGACTATGCTTAATTGCACGATGCGGTTTGCGGCAGGCTTGAGATGCTTCAAAGCTGGGTGAATAAGTGAGCGAGTGAGTGGTTGAGTCAGCGGCATATTCTCACGAGCATGGCATGGCATAAGAAGCTGAGAGCAGACTCAGTGCAACTTCCCATTCAGCAGAAGTGCGCAATTTGATGTGGATGCAGCTTTTACTGGGTCCTCTTGAACCTTCTTTCCCTCCCCCTTCGGATTACCTATTCCGGGGCTTGCGGTTTTGTCGTCCCGTCAGAATCGGACCATCTCCCAGATCCTGATATCTCGACCTGCCTTGTTTTGTATCTTAAAGCTGTTTCCCCATCCCCCATGGCGTCCTTCTCTTTGAGTTGTCAAGGAAGCCACAGATCAAGTGTGTAGGTAGGTAATACCAAGACATCAGGGGAGGCACGACATGTATCGGCCTGAGTGTGAGAAAGCACCGAATGGGGGATGAACATTCCGGGGGGCGCTTGTCCAAGGTTACCTTTTCCCCACGTTCGCCAGGCGTATTGTTTGGATTCTGGAGACAACTTTGGTGTTAGTCTGCCGCCCTTTTTTATCTTTTTTTTTTTTATCTGATGCACTGCAGCATCACTAGGCTGGTGGCTGCCGCAGTCGCACCAAAGGTGTTCCTTGGGCTGCATGAGCCTATGAGGTTGCTGAGGTACACCACACCAACTGGGCAATGGACTGTTTCTGGTCACCGCGTTCTGACCGACATCTTCACCGTAGTGGGACGGTTGAGCTTGGTTGGGATGGGCTGGTTGGCCAACCTAATTCCATCTCGTCTCATCAGCACCATGGTAGGTATGCTGGTCCTCGACAACACCAGACCCCCGTACAGAGAGATGAAGACTGCTGCTGCACTACCACTACGTTACCTTTTCCCTTTAACTTTCAGGCGTCAGCTTCAGCATTATGGGAAGGAGACTCGAGAAGTAAGCCCCAAGGTCTGCGACATTCCATGTTAGTTAAACCGTTGTTGGGGTTGCGCTCTTAGAATGGTCGCTCACCGTGCGTCACATAAGTCACCCCGCATTCAATCGCAGTAGGTACCGTAGCTCGAGGCACCAAAGCAAGCCGCAGCCCATCCAATGGTTCCTGTCGAGCTTCGACTGTCAATTGCCCAGGCTTGAGTTGCGACCTTTTGCTATCCCGCAAGATGAGGTCATATCAGGTGGTTTTCTTTCCGCCTGAGAGGTTCTCTATCTCTGTCTCTCTCTCCTCTCCGTTACAAATGACCAGGGGTGGCCCAGCAAGAACCCAAACATCCTGACACCCTGGGAAGACCTGGATGGGGAACTGGACAGGGAAAATGGGGCTCAATAGCTCCAGAGCTCCATCGCGTCTTCAGTGGTGTGTGCGGGTTGTCAGATCAGCCCCAATAAAAAAAAAGTCTGGCCTCTCTGGAACCTCAGACCTTGGACCTTGGAATAATGCTGGATCTGTCTGGCACTCTGGGATAGAGTGCCACATTTGTTGGCTCGGTACGGATACCTACAGCGAGACTGGCGCATTCTGTGCAAGAAGATCAGGCAAATACCTAAGAGCATGCGTGTACGAATACATTACACTCTGTCCGCATATAGCAACCAGACCATGCCATTGCCCATGCTCCCCCCCCCCCCCCCCCGATGTTCCATACCTCCCGTTCCCCATCTCCATGTAAGAAGGTAGCAGTTAGCAATTGCCAACCTGAGCAATCCATTGGGACTAATCGTCCGTACCTACCTTACCTTACTTACCTCCTTACCTACCCTGCACAGCACAGCACAGCAGGTAGGTACTTTGTACGATGAATGGAGAGCTGCTCCTGCTACTCCTCCTCCTCCTCTTCCTCCTTTGTCCATCGGGTATAGTCGTCCGTTGCATGCCCTGCCTAGGGGGATGTAAGGTAGCTAACAGAGATGCTCCGTACCTACCTCACCTCGACTTGCCCGTCTCTTTCTTCCTCTTAATAAGTGTCCCACCGTCCCCCCTCCTCCTGTTCCTGAGCTCTTGACCTCTCCTTCTACTTTACCCCTACTCCTCCCCCATCTTCCCCTCCCTTCCTCCATCTACAAAGCTCTCAGTTGTAGGAGTCCCCTCATCATCCATCTGTAACCTCGCCTCTACCAAGCTTCAGTCGCACCGTAGAGCTATCGGTATTCTTCTAGTTCGTCCTGGACGGTCCCGTTGCAAACAACCCTACCTCGAGAACGCTATTTCAAACTCAACCCTACAGCAAAGCTCGTCCCCCAGCTTTGCCAATCTTTCAGCTGAGACGCTTCGTCCGCTGTTGGCTGAGCACGAATCCCGGCCGCGAGCGGTGTGGACTGAGCTTCAGGCACCGCCAACACACCCCGCTCTTCTCCCCACTAACATCCTGGGCCTGTCCTGTACGTCCCGTTCGCTCCGCCCGTCAAAACAGTCTGGGCCTCGTCCTCTTCGCCCTCCTCCGTCTCCTCCCCCTCGTTTCTCGCCCATCACGTACGACCGAGTGGTGTTTCGATTTCCGCATTCTTGTGCCTCGTATTCTCCGAGGAGGATCCTCCAGCATAGCTAACTGAACGTAGACGACAGTTTCCCAGACCGGTTCGAGTCCTTGATCGAGCCAATTGACTCTCCCCGGTTCATCGCCACTTTATTTTCTCGTACGAGAGCTACTCAAGATGTCGGCAGCTACGGAAGAGCGTCTCCCTGTGCGGGAGCGACGTCCCTCGACGAGCGCCCCCATTGTCGATATCCAGGGCTCTGTCGGCCCGGCCGGCATTTCGCGTCCCAAGCACAAGAGAACTTTCACCGGTTTCGGTGCTGGAGAGATCAAGAGCGTCGAGGGTGGGTTATTCTGTTTTCTCCATTCAATTGCATGACTTCCAGGGAGAGGGGCAGACGCCATGTGCTCGCCAGCTTCCGAAAGATGTGGGCAGGCGAGCTCTCGCGCAGCTCTCGTGGAGCTTGGAGGGGCAGCTCCAGCCCGGGCCCAAAGTACCCCGCACTGATCGTCGCGAGCTCCATCACGCCACACTAGGATCCAGTAGCTTCGTTTTCCCCTGCCACACATCCTCACCTACACCAATGTCGCACCACCAAAATACAATGCCGATACCGAATCGCAAGCTAATGGCCTCTGAACAGCTTCTATCCCCGAGCCTCAGCGCGAGGCTTGGTCCAAAGCCCAGGGCGGCCCTTTCAAGACCAAGGATGAGTTCGAAAAGGAGGTCGTCCGCCACGTCGAGACCACTTTGGCTCGCAGCATGTTCAACTGCGACGAGACGGCTGCCTACTCTGCCGCCAGTTTGGCCTTCCGTGACCGCCTGGTCAAGCAATGGAACAAGACTCAGCAGCGCCAGACCACTGTGGACGGAAAGCGTGTCTACTACTTCTCTCTCGAGTTCCTTATGGGCCGTGCCCTCGACAATGCCATGTTGAACGTTGGCTTGAAGGACGTTGCCAAGGGTGAGTTACAAGGAGGCGCCGAACCATGTCTAAATGACACAACACTAACACTACCGTGCAGCTGGTCTTGACGACCTTGGTTTCCGCATCGAGGACGTGATTGAGCAGGAGCATGACGCTGCTCTTGGAAATGGCGGTCTGGGCCGTTTGGCTGCTTGCTTTCTCGACAGTCTTGCGTCTCTCAACTTCCCCGCCTGGGGCTATGGCTTGAGATACAGATACGGTATCTTCAAGCAGGAGATTATCGATGGCTACCAAGTCGAGGTGCCCGACTACTGGCTTGACTTCAATCCATGGGAGTTCCCCCGTCACGATGTTACTGTCGATGTGAGTTGACGAGGGTAACCTTCGTTTCGAATGAATACTGACAATCCTCAAGATCCAATTCTTTGGTCATGTCACAAAGTCGACAGACTCGAATGGCAAGACTGTTGCCAGCTGGGAGGGTGGTGAGACGGTCACCGCCGTGGCATACGACGTGCCCATCCCGGGATACGCCACACCCTCGACCAACAACTTGCGTTTGTGGTCCAGCAAGGCTGCCAGCGGAGAGTTCGATTTCCAAAAGTTCAACAATGGAGAGTACGAGAGCTCAGTTGCCGATCAGCAGCGGGCCGAGACGATCAGCGCGGTTCTGTACCCCAACGACAACCTTGAGCGCGGAAAGGAGCTTCGTCTGAAGCAGCAGTACTTCTGGTGTGCTGCCTCTCTTTACGACATCGTTCGTCGCTTCAAGAAGTCCAAGCGCCCCTGGAGAGAGTTCCCCGACCAGGTTGCCATCCAGCTGAACGACACTCACCCCACGTTGGCCATCGTTGAGCTGCAGCGTATCCTGATTGATCTCGAGAAGCTGGAGTGGGACGAGGCATGGAACATCGTCACTGCCACGTTTGGTTACACGAACCACACCGTTTTGCCCGAGGCTCTGGAGAAGTGGCCCGTCGGGTTGGTCCAGCACTTGCTCCCTAGACACTTGCAGATTATCTACGACATCAACCTGTTCTTCCTTCAGAGTGTCGAAAAGATGTTCCCCAACGACCGCGAAATCCTCGGCAGGGTCTCGATCATAGAAGAGTCGCAGCCCAAGATGGTGCGCATGGCCTACCTGGCAATTGTCGGCTCTCACAAGGTCAATGGTGTAGCTGAGCTGCACTCTGATCTCATCAAGACCACCATTTTCAAGGACTTTGTCAACATCTACGGCCCCGACAAGTTCACCAACGTCACCAACGGCATCACCCCGAGACGTTGGCTGCACCAGGCCAACCCTCGCCTGTCTGACCTCATTGCGTCCAAGACTGGTGGCAACTACGACTTCCTGAAGGACCTGACAAGGTTGAACCAGCTTGAGCTCAGCGTCAACGACAAGGAGTTCCGTAAGGAATGGGCCGAGATCAAGTACGCCAACAAGGTCCGCCTCGCTAAGTACATCAAGACCACGACGGGCGTCAGCGTCAACCCTGCGGCGCTCTTTGACGTTCAAGTCAAGCGTATTCACGAGTACAAGCGTCAGCAGCTCAACATCTTTGGTGTCATCCACCGCTACCTTACTCTCAAGGCCATGTCGCCCGAGGAACGCAAAAAGGTTGCTCCCCGTGTATCCATCTTTGGAGGAAAGGCGGCACCTGGCTACTGGATGGCCAAGCAAATTATTCACTTGGTCAACAGCGTTGGTTCGGTAGTCAACAATGACGAGGAAATCGGCGACCTTCTCAAGGTCGTCTATCTGGAGGACTACAATGTCAGCAAGGCGGAGATGATCATCCCTGCGTCTGACCTGAGCGAGCACATCTCCACTGCCGGTACCGAGTAAGTGAACCCCAATCTTCAGCGCCGACGGCGTCTCGGCTAACGTGTCATGCAGGGCTTCTGGTACGAGTAACATGAAGTTTGTCCTCAATGGCGGCCTGATTATCGGCACGTGCGACGGCGCCAACGTAAGTGAACCCGATGGAATGGAACTGGCTGGACGATCGTTTCTAACACTGGCCTAGATTGAGATCACCCGTGAGATTGGCGAGAACAACATTTTCCTCTTTGGCAACCTTGCCGAGGATGTGGAAGATCTCCGCCACTCGCACAACTACGGAACCCACTCGATTGACGAAAACCTTGCCAAGGTCTTCTCTGCCATCGACAGTGGCACATTCGGCTCCGTGTCCGACTTCCATGCGCTAGTCTCGGCCGTCCGTGACCACGGAGACTACTACTTGGTATCAGACGACTTCAACAGCTACATTGAGACGCATCACCTTGTTGATGAGGCGTACAAGAACCAAGAGGAGTGGATCACAAAGTCCATCACCAGTGTAGCTCGTATGGGCTTCTTCAGCAGTGATCGCTGCATCAATGAGTATGCCGAGGAGATCTGGAATGTCGAGCCTCTCAAGGTCGAGGACTAGACTAGACCATGGCGCTACGAAGACAAGACCGAGACGGCGTAAAATGATCTAGACGGGGGTGGCTGGTCAGGCGTGCACGGAACCGAGTACCTATTGCACCATTGCACTCGGAACTCTTCAAGAAGGCGGGGGCTATAACGAACAGTGCTAGATAATATCTTTCTTTTGTATAGTTTATGAGAATGCCCTAAGACTGGTGTCCGCAGCTATTGAAACCATGAGGTGTCTGCTTGTGAAGTGAGCGACTGTGTTGTTTGCCAGATGACTAAGCAACCAAGATAGCAATGTGTTGATTTATTGCCTTTTTTTTTTTTTTTTTTGGAACGGCCTCGAACGGCGACCATTGTTGGAAACGGAGCAGGGTGACAAGTGGAATTGCAACGTGAACGTTTCGACAAGGGAAGTGGAAACAATGGGGCGCCTGTTTTGCTTCACTGACGTCATTATGCGGCAATGTGGACGTCGTCCACATCGACCAAGGGG